TGTGTTCTAGGTAATACACGAACACAGAATGCATTTGAGTTCTCAGTGCCTTGAAACAAGACCTCAAAAGTGCCTTTTCAGAGACACTGTTTCTTTGATTCAAGGTGTCAGATGTTAGTCTTGTTCATATGACATACACACACATATTCACTTGTCCCTTTTTAAAAATAATATAAATCAAACAGCATTAATGTTTCAGCAACTGAAATAATAAGTTTTAATCCCCCAAAAATAACATTTCCAACATCTGTTTGGCTACATAAGATGTGAGTTTACGGACTATGAAATATTAGTATCTGAAAGTATGTCTAGAATAAGCTATGCTATCCAAAACTTTTCACATGCATTTCAACATACCATACAATAAAGATATATTCAGCTATTATCTCCTCTCACTGATGTCCAGCTATTTACTGCGATATATTGAATATATTCTGGCTACCAAGTGTTTTTGAGTGAAGTCATGATGTTGGGAAACTGCCTGTATAAGTTCCATGAGAACTATATTCAATAGGAATGACACTCTCTTGTGTGTCTGAAATGTATATGATCTTTGTTGCATTTAGTCTTTCCAAGGAACATAACCAAAACAAGACCCAACATTGTTTTTTTATGTTTTTAAATATATAGACAATCCGAGAAGGGAAAGTTTTTAATCCATTTTAGATTAGTATTGCTATTTTGAAAATCAGGAGACAAGGCAAATCTATAACTTCCCTTTCCTAATTCTATGGAACCTCATAAAATGTGAAGGAGAAAACAGCCCTTTTGATAAATAATTCTGTGCAAAAGGCTCTTTTGTTAATCCTTGGGCTACTCTATACTCTTAAATGGAAAGGTTGGTGTTTTTATAACTTCCAGTGATGTCCCATTTGTGCAAAAAGGATTGTTGAAGTAAACCAGTTCAGAATAGAGTGAGGTTGGAGTAGGGAACATGGAGTTGTTCAGATGTTCTAGACTACAATTCCTATATGCCCAAAAATCAGTGATTATGGAAGCTGTGATTTAAATTAACGATTCTTACACTTTGGTCTTCTGGATGTTTTTTATTTCATCTACTATGAAATCTCCCAGCCAGCTGGGTAAACGCTTAGGTACCCTGCGATGCCCGGGTTAGATATTTGGTAATTTGTAATATTATTTAATAGAAAATGTCATTGTTTTGGGATGTTATGAATGGCCCCATTAAGAAAATGTGTAAGGATGTGGGTGGACTACAACGCACATCATGCCTGGTTAATCCCTCTCAGTATGTTCTGTTGGTCATGGGGTTCTGTGTGCCAAGTGTGGTCCGGATCCATAATTGGTGGGGGTCACAGTGGTCTCTGGACGTGCGAGCCAATAGGAAAGCAGCCACAAACCTACCATCTATACTCGAGTATAAGTCTAGTTTTCCAGCCTTTTTTAAGGCAGAAAAAGCTCCCTATGGTTTATACTCAAGTCAAGGTTATTTATTATTTTACTCTTGTTATAATTTTTATTTTATTACATTTATTATACACTATTGTTTTTATTATTATTACATTTACATTATTTTACTGTATTATTATATTACATTTACATTATTTTACTCTATGACATTATTTTCTCTATTATTGTTATTTATTATTTTACTTTATTATTACTACATTTATTATTTTGCTCTATTTATTATTGTTTGTATTAGATATCCATTATTATTCTATATTATTATTATTATTATTATTATTACATCTATTATTTTACTCTCTTTATCATTGGAAGGCTACATAAGCACATTTACATTGAAGGTTTGAATAATGATTTAATCAAAGTTAGACAGTCTTATCTTAAATTACAGTTTTTTGTAAATATTCAAAAACATTTAATCCACGGATGCCTCAATTAATGTAATTTTATTGGTATCTATATTTATTTTGAAATTTACCAATAGCTGCTGGATTTCCCACTCTCGGCTTATATTCAAGTCAATACGTTTCCCCAGTTTTTTGTGATAAAATTTGGTGCCTCAGCTTATGTTTGGGTTGGCTTATACTCAAGTATATACGGGTACATGTATTAGATGGGTAGAGAGATAGATGATAAGATAGATAGATAAACTTTAGCTCATCTGGAAATATTTAGACACTAGGGGGCAATATGGATCAACTTTTTTTCCAAAACAAATTCATTCCTGAGGAGCAAGTATTAGTACGGACTTGGGAATGTTTAATTATTCACATAGGTTTTAGATTTATAAAACAATGTATGTGTTCAAATCATTTCAAAAGTACATTCAAATGCTCAACAGCAAATGTGTTCAAATATGTCTGCACCTCACTTGTTCAGTGAATTGATTCACTGAACAAGTGTGTGTAAATGTATTCAAACCATATCTTAAGCAATAAAGTTTATCTAATCTTTACAGATTTCCATGGCAGACCCTCTGCAAATCCAAGTGAGCAGAGCCACCGCCTTATCATTCTCCTTTTACAGCAAGCCCACTGACAATGTCATTTGAGCACTTATATATGTTTTACAATCCTACCACGATTGTGATAGTTGGCATGTTCCTGGCAGCATTCTCCGGGTATTGCAGATCAAAATGTGCTACACTGAGAACATTTATTTTTGGCACCATTGTAACACAAACTCTTAGAAGCTGAGTTCAATATGCAGCAACTATCAAATATGTTGGACTTGATAGCGATTCCACAAAATGTGTTGTCGAAGGCTTTCATAGCCGGAATCACTGGGTTGCTGTGAATTTTTCGGGCTGTATGGCCATGTTCCAGAAGCATTCTGTCCTGTTGTTTCACCCACATCTATAGCAGGCATTCTCAGAGGTTGTGAAGTCTGTTGGAAACTAGGCAAGTGGGGCTTATATATCTGTGGAATGTCCAGGATGGGAGAAAGAACTCTTGTCTGTTGGAGGCAAGTGAGAATGTTGTAATTGACCATTCAGTGCTAAACAAGGTGGTCAATTGCAACAATCACCCTTACCTCAAGCAGAAAAAAGTTCTTTCTTTCACCCTGGACATTCCACAGATATATACATACACATCACTTGCCTAGTTTCCAAAAGACCCCTCAGAGATTTCACCAACTACTTTGGACACAACAGAAAAAATGGTGAAAAGCTATGCATGAGATTTTCTACTACTGAGTGCTCAATATTTCAACCAAGGTATTGCAGTGCTCTCTCAGCGACCTTTAATGACAAACTGTTTTTCTTATTTTTTTAATCTTCAACTTGAAAGTGTGTTAATCTCAGGTAATAAAATCTACTTTAGCAAATCTCTTATGCCTGGTGTGCTTCCAAGTATAACTTGTCGAAAGTAATTGTTATTTTCTTTTTGGAGGACATTTCTAATTGTGACTGCTGACTTCAACCATTCTGACCAGTTCCAGCCAACTCCAATACAGATAATTTTAGTGTCCTTTGCCTTTCTTCAGTAGTTTTTGTGTTTGTGTGTGTGAACAAGTACATCTTTGCAGGAATATTCATTTAGTAGGTTACCTTGAACAAAAAGTGAATTTTTAGGAATTTATATCTTTTAAAAGAAATGGAGCTACAAAGTGGAGTTCACGACATGCGAGTGTGGAGAAGAACAAACCACAGGCTACCTATTACAATGCAGTCTGAGTCCTGCCACATGCACAATGGAGGACTCCTTATAGCAACATCAAAGGCACTCCAAGTGGCCAGCTACTGGTCAAAGGACATTTAGTATAATGCCAAGTTTTTAACTTTGTGTTTTTAAATACGTTACAATGGTACCCTCAATTCGCTTCTGGCACGATAAAAAAGGAAGCATATTTGAATATCTACAAAACAGGGCAGGTTTTGATGCCCAGATCCTTTAAACATTTACCTCCTTTATAAAAAACGGCAATGCAACATACAATTAGTAACAAGACAATGCAAATTAAAAGCTAATAGTAGTAGCTCTAGTAGTAGCAATAATAGCAATAATAGTAATAATAATATAAAGTGTAGTTTTATTTGGCATATTTGGCACAAAGCTTACAAGAACCTTTTGATCCCTTCTCAATTAAATACAGTTAGCAAGAAAAAAGGCATACTAATACACTTAAGTTATTAAGCTTATTAAAGAGGGGGAAAGGCACTAGGAAGATCAAGTGCATGGAAAATATTGACTCCAAGTGCCTAGTGGTATTAAATTAAGGCACAACTACTCTAGGAAGTTTACTATAAAAATCTAACTTTGTAGCTGCTTATTGTTTTTGGAATGTACAAGTTTCAATTCTATCATTTATAGGACTCAGATGCCATGGTTCTCTGAAATGGAATGATCTGACAGCAAAAGGTGGCTTTAGCTAAGTAGACTTCCTCATGGAAACAAAGATGTAACTATTTTAAAAATTTAGTCAGTAATCTGTACAAAAATAATAATGACATAAGTTTAGCTGAAAATGTTTCACATAGAAAAACTGGCTACATGATTTCAGCAAGAAACAAGATCTGATTCTGGAAAACGAACAGATTAAAATACTAATAAAGTATTACCATGTGAAAAAAAAGTAAACATATACAAGATAAAGGAGTTCTATTAACTCAAGAGGCTTTGCTACAATTATGTTTAACTTGATCCATCATTACCTCAGGTAACATCTTTAAATGGCACTATGCAGGAGAGATGAATGAATGCTAAGTTTTTCTTACGGCTAGGAATCAGTGCCTTGCATTTTAAGATTCAACTGTATTAACAAGGAAGCTTTCCTTTTTAAAATGTTGTACCAAAGAACAACAAACAGTTCATTCTATTAGTTTCCCTTAAAGTAGACAAAAGTACAGTAAACAAAATTAATGCAAAAATGTAAGTACAATTCACATTTGTGTGGCTACATGTGCAAAGCAAAACATAATGGAATTCTTCTGGAAGTCACCACTGTTAGTATTCAAAAGAGGGTACCTTTTTATGCCCAGTATAATCATCTTGAAAGAACTATTGATGTAGAACCAATACTTATAACCCTAATGAATGATTTGTAGTAAATTTAATTTTTTTAACTAAAGCCAGTAACTGTTTTATTTACTTGCTAATTATACAGTCCTCTACTGGTAAGTAAAAAACTTTTAGAATGGATTCCTATCAGTTTAAATTTTTGATCACAGAATAATTATATTGTATATTACATAACATTCAATAATGCATGTTATAAAGATAAAGTTCATTCAGGGGAAAACAATTTTTTCTCAGAGATAAACAAAACAAGTGATTATGGATTTGGCTGAAATGCAAAACATAATTTTGTGGCAAAATATATAGAAAATTAAAAGAGCCCCTCCCCCAATAGTCCGCGTGACAAAGTTATAAATGTGAAAGAGCAATGTATGAAGGGGCACCTGGAAATGATGTCCATAGTGCAAAGACCAGTGGTTCGAGAGCCTAGTACGGTGAACAGTTTCGAGAGTATGTCCGAGCCAACTTGGGATCCTCCTTATAGCCTTCCTCCAAGAGAGAACTACAATGTTCAATTTGCTACTGCATGCAAAACAAGCCACAAAGTGGCCATTGAAGAACAGAGACCAATTCTTTGTGCCCTACTTTCACAACTACACTGATTCCATGATTTAGTCATGTAGCAACGCATAAGCCGCGTTCATGCATTTGTGCTTCTGTGCGCCGGCATTTTGCCAAGAAGGGCCGAGGAGTTCCATGTATCACATCTTGCTAAAACATTCCTTTGCATTCGTCCAAACTTGAATTCCCTTAATTAACAAAAGAAACAGGGAAAAAAGAGAAAAAGTGGTTGTTGAATTGAGCCTTTACAACAGGCAGTTGAGAAAAAGCAAATGTCAACATCAACACATAAACAAATGAGAGTGACGCTGGGGTTATATATCACCGTAGAGAATGTAATCCTGCATATGTACCACAGAATGCATGATGTAATCTTAAATATAAACATACTTACTTACATAGCCTAACTTTATAGATCACAACTTTCCAAACCACGTGTCACATGAACATAACAAGAAATGACAAAAATCTTGGAAATGTATCTTATTATCTTACAAATCCTAGATTTTAGAAAATATGAGTAAACGTTTATGAGATATGTTGTGACCCCATGCATTTTGTCCGTATCTCTTATAAGGGGTTTGTTTTAACTTCCAGTTTGCTAGTAAAACAGAATTACTGTGTTGCAAAATGGTGCATGCCTAAAAACGTGCGGCAGCCATGATACTAACAGGAGTGGAGCGCAGGGAGCATACAACTCCTTTGCTGCACCAGCTCCACTGGCTGCCGATTTGCTACCGGGCTCAATTCAAAGTGCTGGCGTTGGCCTTTAAAGCCCTAAACGGTTCTGGCCCAAGCTACCTATCCGAACGTATCTCTGCCTATGAACCCACCAGGACTCTAAGATCTTCTGGGGAGGCCCTGCTCTCGATCCCGCCTGCATCACAGGCACGGCTGGCGGGGACGAGGGACAGGGCCTTTTCTGTGGTGGCCCCTCGGCTGTGGAACGCCCTTCCTATGGACATTAGATCAGCCCCTTCGTCAATGGTGTTTCGAAGAAAACTAAAAACCTGGCTGTTCGAACAGGCGTTCGGTTAAACAATGCAATGTACACGATGAATATAGGAAACGGAATTATGGAAGACGAATTGGATCACGATTCTAGTTACGAGATGTTAATGTATTGTTATTGATGTGTCATTTTGTATATTTGCTGTTAATGGTTTTTAAATTTTGTATGCTGTTGGATTGACTTTTGCTCTTGTTGTAAACCGCGTTGAGTCGCCTACAAGGCTGAGAAATTGCGGTATACAAGCAAAGTAAATAAATAAATAAATAAAAAGTGCATCACCAATGTAAAATGTTTGAAAAGCTTTGTTATAGATGGTAGCAAACAGCAAAGAAAACAAGAAACCTCAATGCTTTGTTTTCTGGGAATCAAAGCACTCACATATTATTATATCTGAATGCTTTGGCCTCCCCTTAAAAGAGTTTGTCTAACAAACCGACCTTTTTGCACATACTGATCTGCATCACAGCATAACTGATCAGGGCCTCTTTCAAGTCATGGTTCTTCTGCTCTTTGAAGCGTTCAATATCAGCCCAGGCACTTTTCATAAAGTCTCTGAAAAAAATGTAACCAAATTAATGCAAAAATTAATGTATCATCAAGTTCAAGCCATGAACTCAAATGTATTGGATAAAGAACTGGCCACAAAACAAGGACATTTTATTACTCATAAAAAGGAGCTGTATTCCAGCACAACGATTGTCTCTTTGCACACTTACTGCAATTATTTACAGTGAACCTAGCGGTTTAACACAGCCAAACATCCCACTCAAGTTCTCCATTTTGTTGAATTGGTGTCAATTTTACTGACATTTTCCAACATGTCGAATATGAAACCCGGGGGGGGGGGGGGGGGGTGTCATTAAAGTTAAACACAAACATAAAATAATTTGTTTTTCTTATGTGGTTTGATTAACTACGCTGCCTAAAGTTCATTTGGTAATTTTGCTAATTTGCTCCTTGGAATCTTAATTTGTTCTTGGAATTACATATTTTATCCCTATGGCTCTTGAAGTGTGGAAGTACAGATATTTTTCTTCCAAAGCAGTTAGATGGATTAAAACAGAATAAATTATTAAAACAAAAAAAATCACTTCCTGTTGGGGGAAAAAGCTTCTTATAGGTTAAAAACAGCCCAGGAGGACAAGGTCTCTTTCACCCAGGGTGCCTGGGATTATTTGGGAACAAAAAATATGGGTTCTGGGGGGTCCACATGCACTCCATGGACCACACTTTCCATGCCTCTTTTTTTAGTCATCATAAGAGTCAACCCATTACTTTGCTCAACTGATAATTCAAGATGGCGGAGAGTGAAACACCCTGATAACCTCGCTCCGTGGGTTTCTTACTAAGAACTTCTACTTTGCTCATCAGGAGGCACTCTGCTACTGATTCTTATGGCCAAAGGAAACCATTAAATAATTTACTCTTCAGGATTATCAACAGTATTTATCTTCTTCTTAGCACCAGCTAATGGTAAAGAATTCTGAGAGTTTTTTTTCCATAACATTTATAGTCTAAAGCAGAAGAGATTACTGAAATAATGTAGAACCCACAGCCCCCAGTAAATTTAAACTGAATTGGGAGTTTATTTATTTAGAAGATACACACACACAGAGTAGAGTCTCGATTATCCAACCTTTGCTCATCCAAGGTTCTGTATTATCCAACGCAGTCTGCCTCCCACCCGGATCCACAGCTGTTTCAATACATCGCGGTGTTTCGGTGCTAAATTCCTAAATAGAGTATGTTACCATGTACTGAGCAGCTTTTTCTGTCGATTTGTTGTAAAACATGATGTTTTGGTGCTTAATTTGTAAAATCATAATGTAATATGACATTTAATAAGCTTTTCCTTAATCCCTCCTTATTATCCAACATTTTTGCCTCTCCAACATACTGCTGGCCCATTTATGTTGGATAAGGGAGACTCTACTGTATGTATATTCCATTTTAATTATCTAAGTTTTGCTCTGTCTAATGTACTTCTATTCAGTTGCGCTACTATAACTTTTTCAACTTATTCCCTTAACACAGAACACACAAAAAGCCATTAAATGTGCACCTGTTACTATGACTACCTGAGGAGTAGTTAAGAATGTGCTGTTTTTGCCCATGACATGAAGTTTTTGATGGCATTCATGAACACCAGAAGTACAAGATATGTTCAAGAAGTATCCAACCACAATTTGTTGTGCATAAATAAAGCTAAGGAGGCGTAGTTTGGTGCACGTATGTAGGTGACCCTAATGCTCATATATTATTTAAAAAATTGCAACAAACAAAATCCTAGGCATTGTTTTCCTGCCTTTAATCACCTACAGTTTCATCAAATAAAACCAGCAACTACCGGCTCTCCAGGTTCTTTGCTTTAAGCTGCTCCTCTCCTTCATGTATTTGCTCTTCTAGCACCTTTATCTTTGCTTCTCTCTGTTCAGGAGTTTCCTGGCCAAACAACTTACTGGTCATTCCCTTCAAGGAAAATGTCTTCACAGTCTGAAAAATAAAATAAATGTACACCCTAAAGAACATTTTTTTCTCCAACCAAACACACTGGATGTCTAGATGCAAGAAAAGGTAGAGAAGGTCAGATGGCACCTCTGTTTTAAAAAATTATCTGAACAAATTATACATTTTCCCCTGTCAGTACTCTAAGTGGCTCTGGGTGGCATTCATAAACCTTCTGTTTCCTTACAACCAGCATACAAAGTCATTTACTGTGATTGTGTGTGACCGACCCAGAAATACCCAATGAGCTTTGCAGCTGGCAGTGTCTCCCTAAATCAGAGCTTTCCAAACTGTGTGTTTGCTGAAGTGTATGTGTGTCATGTGAACGTAACAAGAAACCTCTATGCAAAATAAGCAATGAATAAAATATTTTAAAAATACATAAATGCAAGGTTTTTATATGATATGTTGTGTCTCCATACATTTCACTATTACAGTTAATGTAAGTGTCATGTTTCTTATAAAGGGTTAGTTTAACCTCCAGTTTGCTGGTAAAACTGAATTATTATGTCGCAAAATAATGCATGTCTAAAATGTGTGTCACCAACATGAAATGTTTGGGAAGCTCTGTCCTACAGTAATGTGATGGTTTAAGCCATAGTATTGCTCTGCAAAGCTGGGGTGAAAATTGCTGGAAGAAACATTAACAACCTCAGATATGCAGATGACACCATTCTGATGGCCGAAAGCGAGGAGGAGCTGAGGAGCCTTCTAATCAAGGTGGAAGAAGAAAGCGCAAAAGCCGGGTTGCAGCTAAACATCAAAAAAACCAAGATTATGGCAACAAGAATGATTGACAACTGGAAAATAGAGGGAGAAAATGTGGAGGCCGTGACAGACTTTGTATTTCTAGGTGCAAAGATTACTGCAGATGCAGGCTGTGGCCAGGAAATCAGAAGACGCTTACTTCTTGGGAGGAGAGCAATGTCCAATCTCGATAAAATAGTAAAGAGTAGAGACATCAGACTGGCAACAAAGATCCGCCTAGTCAAAGCCATGGTATTCCCTGTAGTAACCTACGGATGTGAGAGCTGGACCTTAGGGAAGGCTGAGCGAAGGAAGATAGATGCTTTTGAACTGTGGTGTTGGAGGAAAGTTCTGAGAGTGCCTTGGACTGCGAGAAGATACAACCAGTCCATCCTCCAGGAAATAAAGCCCGACTGCTCATTGGAGGGAAGGATACTAGAGACAAAGTTGAAGTACTTTGGCCACATCATGAGGAGACAGCAAAGCCTAGAGAAGACAATTATGCTGGGGAAAGTGGAAGGTAAAAGGAAGAGGGGGCAACCAAGGGCAAGATGGATGGATGGCATCCTTGAAGTGACTGGACTGACCTTGAAGGAGCTGGGGGTGGTGACGGCCGACAGGGAGCTCTGGCGTGGGCTGGTTCGTGAGGTCACGAAGAGTCAGAGACGACTGAACGAATGAACAACAACACTTGCTCTGACATTAACACCATCTAATTGTGGGCTGGTCCATGAGGTCACGAAGAGTCGGAGACGACTGAACGAATGAACAACAACAACAATTGTCAACAGAAGAATATAGATTTTTCACATTGTTTATTAATTCAGATGGTCCTCCATACACTCATACACTCCATCTCTTGTGCTGGTATCCTAATCAGTGTCAAAAATAAGTACCCACTATGCCCTCTAGGGGACATTTTTGCCATGTTTAGGGGATACTTTTTTAAAAAAAACCAAAACAAAACAGGAAGTAAACCAGAAGTGACTTCCAGTTCTAACAAAGGCTTCTCTTGGATCTAAAATGGCAAAAACCATGGCAAATTTCCCTCCAAACCAGAGGACCTTTTGGGGGCAAAGTTGCTTTGACTTTTGGAGTGAGACTCTCCAAGGTCTCCTAAACAGTTAACATGTATCCTCAGCCTTCCATAATTGCCCACATCTAACACAAAGTATACATAATCCTCCTTTATTCAAATTTGCTGGGTTTCTCCCAAGCCAGTGAGCATGTGAGGCTGTGTGCTCATCTTTTCAAAGAAAGCTCTCCCTTTCTCCTATCTCTCTCCAAGTGCAAAACCAGCACTTTCTACAGTAGCATACTACATGCTTTTTTGGACATGCTATAGATTTCTACTGCATGGACAGCATTAATCTCAGTCAAATAAATCAAGAAGATGCATAACTTTCATAAGACTCTTCACGTGCCTCCTGTCGGTGAGCCATACACAATGTCATTAAGGTTAAGAAACTGGCTGTCTTTTAAGATTTTGGAGAAGAAAGTGGAAAAAAATTAAGCTAGGCTTACTCCTGTTGCCAATTCCTCACACTGCTGTTTCTTCGATGTCAAATCTTGAGCAGCTGTTTCCAACTCATACTGCAGAAGTTCATGCTTCTTGCAAACTGTCCTGAAAATAATCAATGCGAATATATCATATCAAAAAGTTTCCTCATTGCGCCTGCTATTTTTGTTTAAATAGGTTGACTTTAAACTTACTCATCAGGATCGAGGAACTGATATGCCAAACCTTTGACTATGGCTCCAAATATTCTATTTTTCTGTTGTCCAATTCCTTCATATTTGACAAATGTATTTTGTACACACACACACACACGCATATATCCACACACACACACACACACTCATGTATGCATTGCATAGGTTTTGTGGCCAAAATTATGGATTTTGATATGATCATTAGATCCTTAAAAAGTGAAAGTCTTTTCAGTCTTTTTTACTAACATTTCTAGACTTATCCATGAATTTATTTAATGTAATAATAAGTAATAAAATTTACTGAAGTAAAATGGCACCCCAAGGGATTTCATCACCATTAGGTGAATTATCAGTCTACTTAAAGTGATAGAATGCTCTGAGGTTCCTCCTCCTATGCTAAGAATGAAAAAGTCAACACTGCTCACTTAACACAACAGTCTGTGAGAAGTAGACCACCACAAGATCCCGGACATTATTTATACACATTAAGAGGTAATCTTTCCAACACATTTATTCACAGATTTTTGGATAGTATATAACGTCTAATACAGTGGTTCTCAACCTGGGGTCCCCAGATGTTTTTGGCCTTCAACTCCCAGAAATCCTAACAGCTGGTAAACTGGCTGGGATTTCTGGGAGTTGTAGGCCAAAAACATCTGGGGACCCCAGGTTGAGAACCACGGGTCTAATACAATACTTAGTTACAATCACAATAATTTCAGATTGTTCAAATTGCTTACCGAAGTGCTTCTGCATAGAAGAGATATTCTTTCAGCTGGTCAGCATAATGCTCTTCCTCTTCTAGTATGTCATCAATAGACGCTGCATATCTGTCAACAGAGAAGGTAGGATAGTAAGTTCCCAGAACTGATTGGGCCAATACATAGTCATAAATATATATGTTTCCTTTACACTCATAGCTAAATATAACATCAACAGAAATGCCACCTTAATGCTTCCAGTGTTGCTACAATAATAAATTGTGAAGTTTTCTTCCAAAAAGGGACACTCTCCCCAAGTAAATGTCAAGAATATTTTATGGATGTCATTCAGTCAATGTCAAACTGTACTACACTCCACCTGCTAATGAATGCGAGGTGGTGTAGGCTATTTCATATAATGAAATTGCCAGTATCACCTCTAAATATTCCTTGCTCATGAAAACCCTATGAAATTCATGAGGTCTCCTATGTCAATAGATGACTTGAATACACATTTACATAACAACTAAATAATGGAGGGGGTAACACAACCTTTAACAAGACAGATACATGGTTATTTTGTGCCAGCCAAGAAAGTAGTGAATTATTTTGGTGGTTTACCTACTGATTAAAGATTATGCCATTAAATACGTTCTTTAAACAATTTAGAATGGCCTGGAGTAATATGGTGCTTTGCAAATTAGAAAAGCTTCCCAGCTACTATCTGGAATTAAAAGTGTTGACATTAAAAAACTTGATATAACATACAGCATCCCCAGGAAGGCAGCCTATTCTGTCCTGGCAGATACCTATCCTGCTCCCATTATGCTGACTGTCCTGAGGTGGTGAATGGGCACTACTCCTCTGTCGTTCCTGTTTGTCTCTTTACTTATGACCAGTCCATGTGTTGGCAATCTCGTCTTTGTCAATCAATCAGATTTGTCTTTGCAGAAGTCAGACACCAAGCCCATCCTACAGAGAGTCGTGGGCATATGGCAATTTCCCCTTAAATGTACAGGAGATTCTTCATCCATAGAGGTTTCTATCCCTCAATAATCATGGCATGAGGGAAGAATTGCTAGGACCAATCAATTTATTATTATGAAATCTGCTGACCTAGCAAGGATTTAAAAGCACATCTAGGATATCTGTCAAGCCCAGTTAACTGGATCCTGACCTGGATGGATAATCACAGTTTGACTTAGATGATCATAGGTACTGATGGTTTTTAATTACTTAAAGTAGTCATGAATTATTGGAAAACTCTATTGTAGTAGGAGAGAATATGTTTCTGCTTTGATTTCATTGTTGGGTCCAAATGTGAAGATGAAAGGCTGCCTTAAGCAACACTTAAGCTGCCTTAGTTTATCCTGCTTTACTTTACACTACTTCATCTTATTGGGCAGAGGACAGGAAGATGCTTTAGATCCTTGATGGATCAGCTTGACTTTTAGTGAAAGAGTAATATTCCTAACCATGTTCTCAACCTGTATAACTGGGATGAGTATAGCTATTATAGCAAAATTAAAAGAATATCTGAGGCAGGGTGGACAAACAATCACACCGCTGCCACCAATATAGCGAAATTAAAGGCTGACCCTATGTTATATATACAAGTGACCGAATGTTCTTGGTAGTATTGCCGCCACCACCTCAGAATTACTGGCCTGAGGAACCAAAGGTGTGAATGTGTTTTAGGTAAGGGGTGTTTGAGCTCTTGATCTTCTATGGCTTCCTCACTAGCTGACTGGACTTTAAAATGGTTTGACAGAATGAGTTCTGAGGAAACGTATAGATTGAGGCATACACCAGTTAAAAGTTAACTAGAAAGAGTTTATTGAACTTTAAATTAACAACAACTCATAGAAATGAGTGGTACAGAAACGTGATTCAGTTGCAGAAACTTGGTTACTTAAACAAATAGTTCCCCTGACAGAAAAGCTTTTAACAACTGTGAGACTCCTTAACCATACTGTTCTATCTTTAGACACAGTATCACTGGAGAACAGATCCCTATCTGTCTCCACCACAGGGTAGAAAGCTCTGGAGACAAATCTTTCTTTTACTGGCTCTCAACACACAGTAAAATACTAGCCTATTGTCTCAGTCTATTTCCCTAAACCTAAGGCTCACTAAAAGCTCTTCCTTTTCTGTCAGATCCCTGCTGTAACTTCCTATCTTGAAATCTCAACCTTCTCTGTCTTAAGTCAAGACCCTTCTCCTCCTGTCAAAATCTGGCAGCTTATTTTCCCTCTCTAAACCGACTCCTCCCCCAATTGCTATACCCAATCAGGAGTCAGCTTGACTCCTCCTCCTGTCCTGCCTGCCAGCCAAGATGACAGCCACTGTCATGTAGGTTTCGGCCTAGTCGACTGAAAGGTAGTTTTCATTACAGCTATCATCATCTTTATTATCATGAGAAGAAAAGTAGAACTACATATTAAAAGATCTTTTAAAATGCTCCTACAAATATATTTCCTTGTATTTATGAAGTGTCCAGATCTCATGAGATTTACTGAGGTCAGCAGAAACCTTTAGAGCACACTGATAAAGCAGCATTGTAACACAGCTGGACTCAATCTTTCATCTAGAAAACACCCCGGGGAGCTGGATTTTTGGCTTGGAAATGTGCTATAGTGCCCTGCTACTATTTCCACTAAGCAAAAACAGCCTTTCCCCTCACATCTCTCATGGAACAAAAAGCTTGCTGGTAAAGCATTCCCCAAATCTTACTGTATGTTTTTTTTTTCTTTTTAGAAATAAAACATTGTCTCCCATCACCTTTGCAAGTTTACTGTGGCATATTCAAGGAGTAGGTTATGGAATACAACATGTAAGTCTGTGTTGGAAACTTGAGTGGAAAAAATAATAATTTGCAACTTACAAATCTTATACATTCCAAAATATAGCACCCTCCACAGTGAAGGGGAATTGGGATCCTTGAACATGGGATAACTTCGCCCTTTAAGCATTGAGGTAATCAAATTTTTTTACATATGCTCCTATATTACAAATTGGGGTGATAACGCAATATCTAGGAATCCTGCAAACAGATGGCCAAGGAAGCACTTCAATCTGCCTACCATTAACATCCATCACTGTGGCAGAAAACATTTTCTCCAATTTTAACAAGTTTATATAATGGAGCATTTTAATTTTGAGTGAAATTTCGATTTAGATGAATGCAAATGCTTTCATTATTAGATATGCACAGGACACACTCTCCCTTGCAACTGGAGAACTGAATAAATGAAGTCTTTCAAAGTAAACCCTATAAGTTTATAGCACATCTCTGGAATAGTGCAAAGCTACTGCTATCAAACAAATCTGGAGTGCATTAAGTTTTGATTCTACCAGTTTCTGGCACAGTACCACAAAGGAAACACTGGATAGGTGCCAACTTCTTCTACAGTTTCAAAATAATAATAAAAAAGAAATCTCTTTTAAGTCACTAGGGGCTCTTTCAGCTACTTAATGGAATAGATTCTAAACCACCCCAAACTAGAAGCCAAAGAAATATTGCACAGCCTACAGTGATATCCTTCAATACAAGACATTTTTCCAAAAATTAGATTTTCCTATCCCCTCCCCTTCTTAAAGTCTGGTTTCCATCAACTCTCAGATAGTCAGCACTTACACATCCATGTGATGACCAGCACTCTGTAGTCCATCCCCCATTTCCTTCTCTATTGCACTCCATTCACTAAAGAAGAAAAAAGTTAAATAGGAAACATCACACATGAAGGGTGAGGAAGTTAATAAGCTGCATCCTGTTAAGCGGGTCCTCCCCAGGTGAAGCTATATGTAGAAGCCACCAAGTTATACTGTTCTTTGCTAAGCTGCCTGAAAGTAGTAGTGCTCTATTCAAAACATGAATGTAAAACATACCATCCTATCTCTAACATCTGTATGCATTAGAGAGCCTTCAGAATAAGGTTTGTTTGTATATCTAAAATTGAGAGGTAACACCACCTTGAATTATAGACCTAAAAATAAAATGCCTTCCCCAGAATTTTATGTCTTGCTTATTTCAAGATTCTGCTTCACCAAACTTTCAGATACAAAGACAGTATTATGGAATGTAGGGTATGGGGGGCTTTTGTCCTTCCTAAAGTTACAATATCTGTGCTTTTCCCCACTATTTACTGAATATGCAACCATAATGATGCCAACTAATTTATCTAAGAGGGTGCCTATACTCAAGTTGAAAGCATTATCAATATATGCCATAGATCAAACAAATAGCTTTGTAGTTAAGAATTGTGCTGTGGTGCATGTTATTAATTTCCAGGTGACTATTACAAAAATGCCTAACACAGATACATGGCATATGTGGGGAGTGGTACTTTTATTGCTGTTTAGGTCAAGAAGAATGACAGAATTTTAGTCATGACCAAAATACCTCCAGATTCAATTTTAACTAGGAACCAACATGGTATAGTGTTAGGGTTGATGTGGAACTGGTGGAACAGGCTTAAATCCCTACTTAACCATACATTTCATCACACTATTCCCTCCCAGACTAATTTCCTCCTAGGATTGTTGTGAGAATTAAATGATGAAAACTTGATTTTTTAAAATGAAAACCAGATTCTTTAAAATTAAAATAAATCAATAACGAGACAAAGCAGAGAAAATCAATGAAAACATTTTTGCATGAGGTCTAACAAAACTTGTAGTAGTGCTTAGCCACTTGTGTTTGCCATGCACAGGAAGGAAGGAAGGAAGGAAGGAAGGAAGGAAGGAAGGAAGGAAGGAAGGAGAAGGACAGTGAATATGGCCCACCCCTGAGAAATACAGGGAAGAGGGCAATTCTGACTACAATATGAGCGAATGCAACAGAATCAGAGAGAGTAGTTCTTCATCTTGGATTCAAATCTGGGCCAAAGAAAAATCTGTGGGCCATGTCTTTACCCTATTTCAGTTTCTGAGTGATGATTTATGAACCCAAAAGGCACCAATACATATCTGGTTTCATACTGAGAAATGTACATTAAGAAATGGAGAGTCCTCCAATGCAAAGCCACTGAAAGTGGTGATTCCTGAACACCTATCAGTCCTTGGTGATTTTCCAGGGGAAAAAAAGAAACACATAGTAGTAATGTGGCACAAATATGATTCCAGTCCCTGGCATCTTGAGCAAAAAAAATCTGTGAGTCCCCCATACACACAACACTCCCCAAAACCATATTGTGAAGTATATAATCACAGAAGATTATTTTCCTTTGTATATTATCACCTGATCTGGAACAGGATTTTGAGGTGGCAACTGCCTTTCAACTTTGCATTAATAATCCTCCCAAATCAACAACTTTAAAATGTAGAGATTCTTATTTATTGATTTTAAATCACATATATATTTGTTTTATGTGCGGTAATATCTTTGTGAATATTTATATTGTTTTGCTTTGAATTTTACACTGAAATTTCAGTAATGTTTTTTAAGCGAAACTGCTGAAACTAATACAAAAATCTTGCAAAAACCCCTAACCCAGTCTGAAGGAAATGAACCGTTAATATTGCCATATTCAACAAGAAGTAAATACAAGTGACACTGATACAGTTAATTCTAAAAATTCAAAATGCAGAGAGATGCAGCTGAAACTGATTAGCCTGGTGGTTTAGATTAACTATTTATAGAACACAGAAGATTTCATAGTATCAGAGTCAGATTCTTTAATTTTCCAGTGAGATGGAAAAGTTAAGCCCCAAACCAGGCAAACAAATCATACACCAAAAAAACATTGCATTTGGGTCGTCTTAAAACAAAGGAATTTTGAAAACTATCATTACATAGATGCAGTTTTTTATGATGGTGACTTTTTGTTCTTAAAACACCATCCTTTGTCTCCTTGAAAAGATGTAAGGAATCAGTCACAATCAATGCAAAATTGCCATAATCAAACCAACCTCGGACACATAATATGCAATGGTGACCAACCATTGTGGTCAGAAACTGGCTGTGTTTTATTCTGCCAAAGTGTAAGACACAGTGAGAACATTTAACATCAGCCTCCTCCTCCCTTCTATAGTGTTTCTCTGGTAGCTGGGAACAACAGGGACTGTGAAAACCAATCAGGTTTAGGTGTGTTGGCAGTTCTAGAACAGGTTGAGGAACTTAACCTTTCGCAGCTACAGTTATTTTCTTTTTCAGATTGTAGCTGTATCTCATGTCCAAAGTGCATTTCCTGCTTGGAAATAGCAAGTTATTTTGTGAAACCCAAGGAAAGGAGTTCCAGATGCTTCCGGCAGCATTTACTGACAGGAGAGTAAAACACATTATTTAAGGGCCAAACTGAATATGACAAAAATGCAATTCCAAGTGACACAAATGAAAATGGCAGGTGCAAGGAAGGCCATAAGATCTCAGCACCCAGAAAGGATATTTGAAATCTTTGTCTTCCTCAACATAGTCTTAACAATTACTCAAAGTCACAAAAGAAGGAAATAGATGTGAAAGGTTTTTTTTCCCTCTGGTACAACAATACCCTGGATGTGGTAATCCCTAGTCTGGAAGATCTACCTTAGGGATTCCCAAACTCTGATCTTCCAGGCATTTTGAACTGCAGCTCCTAGAGTCTCTGACCACTGGCCAAAGTAATGGAGGCTTCTAGGAGATGAAATCCAAAACATCTGGAGGAACAAAGCTTGGAGATCACTGGTTTACCCTGATGAACACTCTCATATCTTTTCCTGCTTTCCAGGAACACCTCCAAAACAAGGGGAAAGCCAGTGTAGCTTCACCCTGAAGCTGCAACGGAGTTTGCTCCCTTATTCCTTTCCCATTCCCTTTTCACTGTATATTATGCCTGTTACAGATCTTATCTGTATGGTGCCAAAAAAATTACATACTGCAGAAGTGAACAATAAAAATTATGGCCTGCTGTACACTTATTTGGATTTATTTTTTCCTTGATTGTTTCTGATCTGCTATTTTCTTTATTTTATATTTGTTTCATACTCTGACTGTGGAGTTCTTAAATTACTGATTGCAGTCACTTGGGACATTCACATGATTTAAAAAGGTGGAATAAACTCTCAAAAGGAAAACAACACTTGAAGACAATATATTAAAAACCTGTTTTTATCTCTCACCTGAAAACTCTCCCATAATTCCCATGGACTTTGTAAACCCCATAAAGTCGATCTGCCACCCTCTAGAAGAATAAACAACTGTTAATTTTCTAGCAAGTTTTCAAGTTCAACTTTTAAAGAAAATCCAAATATTTCATTCAATTAGGGTTAGTGTACCATCCAGAAAGCAAAGTAAATATGTGTGTTATAAAACAATGGAAGACAAAGTCAGATGTTATCTTCCTGCAACAGTTTTCACACAAACAAGAAAATACTTGTTTGAACCTAACATTTTCTCTTAATTGCTCCAAGTTACATCTTGATCTACCAGTGCATACAAGTAGTCCCCAAGTTATGAACAAGACAAGTTATGCAGGTTCGTTCTGAAGTTGAATTTGTATGTAAGTTTGAACAGGTATATTTTTAAGTGTAACACCACCCCTATCTATCTATCTATCTATCTATCTATCTATCTATCTATCTATCTATCTATCTGTGGAAACAAAGATTGGTGATAAAGCTTCAGTGGAGACACCTTTTCGCCATAACTCTTTCAGAAGTGAACTTCCCTTCCGAATGGTAGATTTCTCTCACTTCCTGTTGTCTCATCCGTCTCACTCAGCTATGAGTCATTTGTAAGTCAGATGTTTGTAACTCAGGGACTGCCTGTATACTTTTATATCAAACACATACATTTAAAAAAATCTTATTCGGTCTCATGGAAAAGGTTTTGGCTTTTTAGTATTCAAATGTTCTTTTATTTCTATGTTAAAATGTTCAATGGTCTAAAAATCTAAGAAATAGATTGGCTTGACAAAGAAATGCCAACACGTCTCTAAGCAATCTGATCTGAAAGTTTCATTTCTCTGACCAGTCTAATAATTCAAATTTTTGAAAATACACCTAAAGTCAAGAATCTAGCTCAATTTCAAAACAAGTAAACCATCTTAGGAAGACTAGTGTCATGCCTGCACAGAATCTTCCCCCTTCCCTTTCAGAATCTTCCCCAGGGGAGGAGCCTCTCCAGTGGCGAAGTGGGTTAAACTGAAGACCGACAGGTCGTAGGTTCAAATCCGGGGAGAACGTGGATGAGCTCCCTCTGTCAGCTCCAGCTCCCCATGCAGGGACGTGAGAGAAGCCTCCCACAAGGATGGTAAAACATCAAAAATATCCAGGCAACCCCTGGACAACGTCCTTGCAGACGGCCACTTATCTCACACCAGAAATGACTTGCAGTTTCTCAAGTTGCTCCTGATAAGAAAAAAAAAACCTGCATCTCTGGAAGTGAGGTCTCTTCCAACTCTTTGATTCTATGATTCTATGATTCTAAGTCAGCCATTAGACCAGGAGATGTCAGAAAAGTGAAGATGCGAAAAATATTCCACACCAAGGTTGATAGGCAATGGTTGATCAATAGAAGTTAAACTGTTAAATACTTAAACAGTTGGTTTTGTAAGCAAAGTGGCGTTGCTGAAGATCCAGAGAACAAAGAAGAAAAGACAACAGATAAGTAGGCAAGGTCACTATTAGAGCAAATCCCTAACCTTTTAAGAGACTTTTTGCCAGTTAGATCAGGAGGAGTTGGGATTTGAACCTTGCTATTGTTTTATTAAAGTCTTTATCAACTGATCCTCTGAGCATATCAACTCTATTCCCAGTAAGATCAGGACACCTCCATGCAAACAGCTTGCGGGGCAGAACAACTAGGGTTATATTAACTACTTTTTAGCTCTGAAACATACAATCCGAAGACAGATACAGACAACATGTAGAGTACGTAAGTCAGAAATTTCATAACTGAATTTTTCAATCTATGTTATCAGCTTCCACTATTAAACCCAAGAGTATCTTTAAAAGACAGTAACAATTCTTTACACCTTGCAGAACATAAAACAGAAGTGTATCGTGACAGCACACACTTCTGTCCTCAGCCCCATTACAGGCAAACTACAATAAGAAGTGGTGGGGGTATGGATACATGAGCTCATAGCCTAGCCTGACATTCTTCTGGTTGAGATCCAAGAAAAACAAAGAGCATATGTTTTGACCATTGATACTCCAGTGTATATGAAGGCAATGGATGAGACAAAGTTCCCGTAATGCTGCTAATTGGAGGAGAATAGGTATGGATCAGGAGAGGTTAAAGGCACCCTCCCCAATCATCCAGACAAATGAATCTCCCATTCTGAGCGCCACAAAGAAGTATTATGGTTCCTCCCTGTTTTTTACCACTGCTTTCAAAGTATCACACACAAACATGTGGCTGTCGCTCATATCTGTCGCTATCACTTCATGTAGCTCATTTCACACAGTAAGATCATATTTTAAAGAAAGCAAATCACCACTTCCAAAACACAACACTAAAATTAAATCATTTTCAAGTGAACAATGTCAATTTAAGATTGCACTCATCAAAATTCAAAGAGAACACACTTACAGCTCTGACTCTTAGAAGGTGTGATATGACAGCCTGCAACTCATCACTGTAGTGTTTAAGCTCTGTAAATCTCCTGAGAATGTAAGAACAGAGAGAAACATCATTAGCAGTCAGGGATATGATTTCCTGAAGTTCCATGACAGAGAAGATTTTTTAAAAAATGACACGACTAAGTCTGACATGTTTATATAGACTTATCTCTGCTTCCTAAAGTAGCAACTACATTATAAAATAACTATTTAACAGAGCAACCGCATAGAGAATTGGAATCGGCTGAGCATAACCTGAAATTGAATTAGTCAGTTCATACCATGGCAACTCAGTTCTGCAATAAGATTCTGAAATGAAATTTGGTACATTAATTCAGTCAACAAGTTTAATTTCAAATGCAACCCCACAAAAACTCTGGTGTCCATTTTGAAGAGAAACAAAACATACTGCAGTATCCAACTTTATTATCATGGAACTGATCCTGTACATTTGTGATATACCTGTGTTTCTTTATACATGCAGCATTGCTGAGTCATGGAACCCCTCTATACCTGTGTATTTGAATGTTGTGGCCTAAATGTGGAATTCTGGATTTGTCTCTGGATTTATTAATTTTTGATCAATTCTCTTGTTTAAAAAGCTCCTTTCAAATTCTGTTTTGATTTTCTAATGTGTTAGCCTTTTTTCCTAAAGAAAGGGACAATGTTTGCCCTTCTCCACTCCTTTGGCACTTTATACTATACTTGCAAGCTTGGGCTACACATCTGGACTCTTTCTTTTTGATTTGGGAAATATTAAATCTGTCAATGACTTCATTCAGCACTCCACACAGATGCCCAAAAGGAAACTCACAGCGGAAATGCAAAGGGGTCAATCAGAAATCTCCCAATACCATGTTCTAGAGATGAGCCCTTAAGTAGACATGGAGCCACTAAAGCACATTGTCTTCAATGTCCAAAAAGGTTAATAGGTCAAAAAGGATGAATGACATCCCACTCTGTCTTTCTACTAGCATATGTCACCTACTAAGGAAATTACTAGCAGCTTCAATTGTTTTTAATGTATTTTCTGATCGAACAACAGTGATCACAAACATTATCCAGTCTAAAACCAGCCTGAAATTAATCTATATCAAACTAACTTCTCCAATGTTGAACAACCACTACCTTCTAAGGGATCTTGATTAGTAAAATGATTACTTCCCAAGATCCAAATGCAGTTCTTTTAAAAAATGAACTGCAAATAAGTCCCGCTTTCAAAGGAGCTGTTTTTTTCCCCTCTCAAGAGAAACATTCACAGTTGTCTGGACACATTTGGTCACCTTCCAAATCCCTCATACGATGAAGGGTTAAGTAAATAAGTAGTAGATCGAAACTCCAATTTGCAAGGACCCAAACTATACACACACAAAGAGAGGCTCAGTGATCATATCGAGACAAGGAAACAGAAAGCCCAGACTTAGCTAAACAAGAATCTTCATGATCTCACAGAACCTGAAATTCTGTTTAAAGATGCAAAACACAAGAGCAGCATCAATAGTAAAAGTTCAGGATAGATTTCAGTTCTTAAGTAGTTTTCTGGAAGTCTTTTTTAGTTATATTCTGAAGGTAATTCCCAAAAAAGAAAGAAGATCCCTCTCCAAAAAACATGAACTGTAAATTTCTGGAGTAAGCACTAATAATACGTTAGCCATCTAAAATATAATTAGCATGGACTCATAAATGTTTTCCATAAATACTTTCAAGAAAAGAAGTTAAAAGCAAACATAAGTTAGTAAGCTAGACAAGCACGTGGGGAGAGGGTTAATATAAGATGTATATTAATTCCCACCTATACACAGATATTCATGAGCTTTTGTCCAATTGTCCATCAATTCAAGCTCGATACATGGTATTCTTTGGACCCTGGACAACATTGCCTCTGTCACCTTCTTCACTATTATCCAGCCACAGAAGAGTCCTCTGTTCCATTTTTGTTATTTTGCTCTCCTCCTCATGAATTAGCAACCTATCTTTTTTATTTCTCTCTCTCTCAAGCTACAGGAGGGTAGAACAGAGCCATTCGAATAACTTGACAAGTGTTATCCAATGTATGTCTCCCTGCCCCCTCTGTTCAAAATGACCACACTGGAAGCTTACTGAACTAGATTTCAGGCACATAAAGGGCAGGGGGGAGAGGAAAATCTGTAAGTTTGTGCTGAACTTAGTGAAAAGGTTTTCTGACCAGCAGCCCCTCTCTTCTCACTAAACAAATAATTCTCATTGGAAATAACCCTATACAAGTTTATATATGAGAAAAATAACACAAATTCTGCCTTCAGATGGTGTTTGCTGACTTTGGTATTCTGCCAGGATTTGCAATAAGGGGAAAGACAAACTACGATTCAATTTCCCTTTCTTATAACAGTGGGAACAAAGAGGCCTTAAAGGGTATTAAAAAACATGGGTAAAAGTGGCCCAGCAAATGAAATGGTATTAGAGAGCTTCCTTTATCAAGCATATGATTCAGCCAACACAAGCAGAAGCAGTATATCAAGTACACCATTGTCGTGTTTTTAATATTCCCTTCAAAATTTCAAGAGATGAAGAAAAGCTTTCTGTTTTGACGATTTCGTTTTAAAGTTTAGTCAAGGTATCACCTAGATGTTTACTTTTCACCTAGGAACTACACCACTTTTTATTATCTCTCTAAAATAAAGCTATTATTTAGGATGGGAAAAGCTCAGCACTAACTATAAAATCAATTTTAAGGTTGAAATTTTTAAATACTGAGATTAGCAATAAAATGACAGCTGCTAGTTTTTTTCAAGGTTGTGTGCGTTTTAAAGAAGAAACACACTCATTTTTTCATTATTCACTCTTCCAATTGTTGAAAAATGTGCAAATGCTCTCAGTTACTAAATACTTCTCAAAATCAACTTCCTCAGTTACAACCAACCATCAGATTTTGCAGCAGAGATAAAACTTTGGTACATTCAGAGACAGAAAGTTTTAACTATGAAGTCAGATGAATATGTTGTCTCAACAGAAATAAATCTCCAAAGGCAGAATGTGGGATTGACAAGTCTACTAACATGCATAAATGTTTAACAGTTAGTAAATTACTGATATATGCTATTTAAGTATTCTTTGTCTTAGAATTTTTCTATATCTTTTTATGTTTTAGTGGACTTGTTAGCTCCACCATCTTTTCCATTCACTTTGGTTCTCAGAAGTTGGTGGAAGGGTTTTATACCCATCCTTGCAAATTTCCAATGAGAACCATTAAATATCTAAAGTATTGTCGAAAGCTTTCATGGCTGGAATCACTGGGTTGCAGTAAGTTTTTTGGGCTGTATGGCCATGTTCCAGAAGCATTCTCTCCTGACGTTTCACCTGCATCTATGGCAGGCATCTGCAGAGGTTATGAGGACCTCACAACCTCTGGGGATGCCTGCCATAGATGCAGGCGAAACATCAGGAGAATGTTTCTGGAATATGGCCATACAGCCTGAAAAACTTACAGCAACCCAAAAATCTAAATGTTGTGGAAAATGTACATAGTATATATGTCTACTCAAAAGTAGGTTCTGTCTCTAATACAGCTGAATATGCCAAAGTAGTCTTAGGTCACACTTGCCTTGCTAAACCCTATTAAAGAAGTTTAAACCTACTTAAATAAATATGTATACCATTATACTGTTAACGTTCCAAGCAAATTAACATTTTATATTCGTTTTCACAGTCCTTGTGGGTTACAGGTGACAATGAGCCTATATTACAAACTGGGCACTGAGAATGAGATACATAAGTTACTAAATGTAGCAATACAGCTGTATCTGCTATTAAAAACAAAATCTAATATATTTAAGTAGGCCACAGCTTATAGTAAAAGGGAAAGGAGTTTAACATGTGTATATCTCCACCAAAGGAAGGGTTTTTACTCCCATATTTTTATAATCATTTTGCATTTGGGATTAGTAAGAATTCAAAACATGCACCAAGAAATAAAACTTCCATTTCATTCAAATATTTGGTAAAGAAAAAAGACACACTTACTTGTCTGGGTTTTTCACTCTGAAAGTTGCATTAAGAGCTTTTAATCTAGAATCTACCTGGCAGAGGAACAACATATATACATAGAATTAAATTACAAGTAGCTAATGACTGACAACTATAATAATTTGAAAATGATCTTAGACATAAAATAAAACCCATATTTATTTATTTATTTCGTTTCAAAAGCATTGCATAAAAAAGTATAAAACTGATAAAAATAGAAGAAGCACTAGCGGCTAAATAATTTTTCACCAAAAATGAGCAACAGCGACTGCACTGTCTTTAGCTTTAAACAATTCTTCTTCTGTACATGAGGCAGGGCATTGTGGGCAAGCATACAGGTGCTGAGTTGTCTGTTCTGCTCCACAGGCGCACAAGGTGGAGGATTCTTTTAGGAAGTGTCATTTTGCCAGGTTGTCTTTTGTTCTGCCCACTCCACTTCTGAGTCTGTTTAGGGACTTCCAAGGTGCTCATTCTTGGTTTGCCCCTGGAGGCAGACCCTCATGTGGGGGGAGGGGGCAATCCAACTGGGATTTCCTGGTTTATCTCCCCAGAGGGAGACACTTGCTGTTGCTAGGGGAACGTTAAGAGGAGTGGTGGTTTTCATGAAGCTTTTCCTTGATTTGAGTCTAGTGGGAGGAGGCTGATAGCCATGCAGTGGGTAGCTTTCAGTGTACAACCTTATTTGTTTCAAAATTAGCAAAAACTTCCTGTCGCACATCCCGGGGGGGGGGGGGGGGGGGGGGAATGCCAGCTAGCTTGTAGAATTTATCAACAAGTGTAGGTTTGAGACAACCTGTGATTATTCTGCATGTTTTGTTCACCTGCTTTGCATGGACAGACTTGTGCCAAACAGGGCAGGCATATTCGGCAGTATGCCATACTGAAGCACACACATTCCTGGAAGTTATTTTATTAAGAGTCCAATAAAAATATTTTTCTCAGAGACACTTCATATGGCACAGAATTCTAAAACTGAATGTGATTTCATGTAGGAATACAATTGTTTCATGAAAAAGGGATTTAAACATGATAATACTTTCATACTGCACAACAGAAACATTTACACGCAAAAAGTGAATAATCTTTTTTTGATCTACAACATGGAATCTCTCAAAGAGGTTCACTTTTAAAGAATTTCAATCTATACAAAGAAGCCATGAGACTACACAAATCCCCACTTCTATTTTCTTCTGAAAATGATATTTATATTTTCAAGAAAAATATATGTGTAATTGTGATGACAACAAGGTACCCTTACTGCAATGTTGTTCATGTTAAGTAAAATAATCTCTGGCTCTATGGAAATGCACAATGTATTTTCCCCCTAATAGGTGGATGACATTGCAAGGGTAAAAAAAGAGGTTTACAACATTATGATATTTGGTTGCCAAAAGAATTCTGGATATATTTCATCCTTCATAAAGTTATACTTATGACTTTGACTGAGAGTTACTGCATTTTAAAAGTATATAATTACCTTCATCTGAAATCCGGTTTCATTCACCATCTCCTTCCATCCACCTTCCTAGAAAGTGAAACTGCACTTTAATTGTTATATTATCTTAGAAATATGAACATTACCTATGGAACATTAAAGATTTAACCCTGACAAGGTTCACGCCAAGAAAAGTTCATTTATGAGCTCAAAGTTGTAAGTATCTGCGTAAACCCTTGCTAATGCATCAGTGGAAGTGATTGGCACCAACACTTTTCACATTTACCAGTCTGGTAACATGTACTGTATGTTTTATGTAACTATGATGTTATTGTCTATTGTTCGTGTTTTCGGTTTGTGTTTTCAGTTTTTCTTTATTGTAATTGTCATTTGGGCTTGGCCTCACGTAAACCGCTCCGAGTCCCCATTGGGGAGATGGTGGCGGGGTAATAAATAAATTATTATTATTATTATTATTATTATTATTATTATCTGAAAGGGAAAGGAAAGAACGGAACCAACTGCTTCCGTTTACAAGAATGTTTCAGCCTAGTCACCAAGACGCTACTTTTACTCACTACAAATTAACAGGCTATTGGATTTTTAGCTCCCCAATATAAGAGGTAAGACACACATCATTGATTTCATTAATAGTATAAAAAGCAATAACGACAGCCCCTCACATTAGACAATTGAACACTGATTCCACTTTATTTGCTTTTGGCTTCATCCCATGGATTTCTGGACACACTGGGAATTCAAGTGCTCCTCTCTGAACCACAAACCCCAGGATTCCATAGGATGGAAATACCATAGCTGAAGTGGAATCAATGACTATAATTGTATAGTGTGGAAGTGACACTACTCTACTTGTTCAGAAGCCTAATGGCTATCTTCTTACAGACAAAGAATCCTTGAGGTGACTAGTCATGGGCAAAAGCAGAGGAGCCATTTCCTAGCTCTTTGGTTAAATCCAATACTCTGGATTTAACCACATCTAACCTTTCGTGTTCCACCTTTTACCCAAGTGGTAGGAAAGATCAACAATCAAAAAGATAGCCAAACTGGCTAAGAGATGCTCTTTCCCCAGGTAATATCTCAACAGGCTTCTGATTATTTCTACCCTATAAAGAGAAGGAAACCTTCAGTTCTGTTTACTTGTTTAAAGATTTACAGTGATTTTCCTTCATTACATCTTCCTGCAATGCTTTTATTTTCATGCTATCATTTTTACATATTAATTAATTAATTAACTATATTTAGATCCCGCCTTTCTCAACCCCGAAGGAGACTCAAGGCAGCTTACAGATAGGCAACAATTCAATGCCTTAACAACAATATGCAATTAAAATAAACACTGAAATTAAAATTGACCTCAAAACATTATAATCACTACAAAACCATGCTATCTGCAATCATAGTCCACATCATTCCAGTAGTCACTGCACATAATTCCAGTCCATCTATTGCACTATAGTTCTTCTTTGAAAGCTTGATCCCAAAGCTATGTTCTCATTCTCTTTCTGAAGGTCAGAAGGGAGGGGGCTGATCTAACATCACTGGGGAGGGAGTTCCACAGCCGAGGGGCCACCACTGAGAAGGCCCTGTTTCTCGTTCCCACCAATCATGCCTATGAAGGAGACGGGACCAATTTTAAATGTGTGTCCTTTGTTTAATCTCTGTTTTGTGTTATTTTAATACGTATTTTATATAAATATGTTTTAATATGTATTTTAATAGAAATACTTTTTAATATTTGTATTCGTGTATTTTTACAATGTGTATATGTTTTAATTATTCTGTAACCTGCCTCGAGCCACAAGGAGAGACAGGTAAGAAATAAAATTATTATCATCATCATTATTATCATCCATCCATCCAGCTCATGTCAGCATAGACTAGCAATAATTTCTGAGAATTTTTAGGAAGGATAGTCTCCCTTACCTTAAGAAGTCAGGAGATAACTTGTGACCTTCTGCAAGCAAAGCAAATGTTCTGCCACTGAGTTATAACTCCATAAGTATTTATATACATATATTTCTACATACATAGAATTTGGGTTAAAATAGAATGTTTTCAATTTTTTATTTATTTTACTCTAGAGTGTATGATAATACCTGGGTTAGAAATGCATTAAAAATCTTCTCCCGGCAAAGAACAGGATGTGATGCTACACGTAGGAGAAAATTTTCCAAGCCAATTCTTCTCCTTTCCACAAAATCTGGATCCATGTTATCAGCTGATAACTTATGCCAAACAAATTCTGCCTGCAAAACAAAGGAAAATGTTAACAGTAGGACTATGTCTATTTCATATTAAGGTGATATAAATAAGTCAAATTCTCCACCAAGTGAAAGAAAATCTCCACCACTATAAATTATGCTAATTGTGTCAGTTAATACATTTTTAATAGAATTTTACTTGGGGCAAAGACGTTTGCAAGTTTTGCATTCCTATCTCTGAAACTGCTGCTCAAGCTCAGTTTCAAGTGTCCCCACTCTTATATGTCACCAGGCACTGCCTACATATGGGTAAACCTGAAAATGGCTTTGAAAAATTATTATAAAATGCAACCCCCCCCCAAAAAAAACCTGAACTCTATGCTTAGGTGGTATTGACTGATATGATATTGACTGATATGATGATGATGATGATAACAATAACAATAATAAGATATGGTATGATAAGAGTGAATCATTAGATAAATACTCAGATTATATATTTGGTTTTAACCTGTGCCCTAAGCCACTATGTGTTAGGTGGAAGGATGGATATAGATAGATACATAACACTTTATTGAGGAGATGAAATAAACAGAATGAATTTTGGTCAAAACGTTCCTTACCCTTTTTTCTGGCAAAGGTGGCACAATAAGATGTGGGTAGTTTACAAGCAAATAATTTCTCAGCAACTCAAATTCACTATATCGCCTCCAAAGAGAGTCTGGGGGGGAACACTGTCCTTCGCCCTGTGAATCCACGGCCCTGAAAGATATGAGAAACAATGATAAGTACAACAATGCCAAATTTAGCCTTGGCATTAAACAAAGCTTCTTAAAATCTTCTATAACCTGCTTCATTTCTTTTACCTGAACGCCACCAAAGAAAACAAGATAAGAAACTGTCAAACCAGATGCCTTAATTGACAACAGAAGTTCTCCTTGGTTTCAGATAAAAGTCTTAACTTGACCTTCATTAAGACTAGCCTGTTTTTAAATCAACTGATATTTTTTTAAATCATAAGTTTAGGCTAGTGGTTCCCAACCTGTGGTCCGTGGACGACCAGTGGTCCACAAGAGCGAAAATATGGTCCGTGGACGACCAGTGGTCCACAAGAGCGAAAATATGGTCCATGACCTCACCATTACTACACCGTTGCCTCAAAACCACGCAGCAACGAGAGCGACTAGTCTTGCAAAACCCTCTTATAGTACCATGGCAATGGAGATGTCAGGAGGGGAGAGGCTGGTTGCCACAAAAGATTACTACTACCACATCCGCTCTACATTATTAAAAATGGTTTTCTGCACCCCAAATACCCAAACCAAATCTAAAGTTGACCAAAAACTGATTTGTAACCCTTTTGGTACTAATGTTATCATGGATTTCAACTTTACGTTTTTAATCTGTTTATTGTTCTATGTGTTTTATTTGTTCAACTATTTCAATTGCTTATAGTTTATGGGATATATTTTATAGTTGTTTTAATAAGCACTCAATCTTGCCAGAGTTGTAAGCCACATCGAGTTCCCTACGGGGTGAGAAAGGTGGGGTATAAATGAAGCTAATAATAAAAATAATAAATAATTTTGGGAGTGGTCCCTGGTCAGGTGGTCCCTGGTGAAAAAGAGGTTGGGAACCACTGGTTTAGGCAGAAGAGAGCATAGTTTGCTTTTATTCCTGCAGTCAGCACTACTGAAGTTTTCATCACTAAATAATGGAATACAGTCAAACTATGGCATATGCAGTAAAGCCTGAACTGCACGGAAGCCAAGACGCTTGAGACAGTTATACTTTGGTCATATCATGAGAAGATGTGACTCACTACAAAAGGAAAGAAAGCCTGGGAACAGAGAAGAAAGTAGGAAAAGAGGAAGACCACATCCCAGGTGGATAGACTCAATCAAGGAAGTCATAGTCCTGAGTCTGCAAGACCTTAGTAGGGTTGTTGTTAAGAGAGAGACTTGGAGATCTCTCATTCACAGGGCCACTTATAAGTTAAATTCAACTTGACAGCAATGAAAAGCAAATAGAATGTGCTTCTCCGGGAAAGTCCACAATTCTCCATCAGGTTATTTGTGTCTTCTTGGTTATTCATAAATAGTACTTTCCCTAAATAGATATAAGATGAGACTGTTGTTTTGCTAAACATCATTACCTGATGAAGGAACTTTGGTTAGAAAGTGAGGGGTTTTCTGCCTTTTTGGTTGACCTAATATGGATTTTGATTTGATTGATTGGTCAACATAGCTACCCTGCATCTTAGTCATCACAATAGTCTTCCAACAGTGCACAAACTTGCCTTTAATTTGGCACCACAGTGCAAAAAGACTGCCATGTCTAGCAGGTCCACATTAGAACTGAGCAAACAAAGTTCTTTAGTTAACTCTGTTCCATAAATGTACATAAAAAATCACCAGCTTGCTTTATATGTGCAGTTTCTTCTATATAGATTTACGCTTATTATGGCAAGTGCAGATCTGTCCATCCTTCCAAACCTAGAAGCTGCAGAGAAGACATAACAACTGTATGGCACCCCCACCCAGGTCAAGAGTTGCACAGAAGCATGAGGATTCACACCAGAAAACTGTTAATAGTTGCACCGCATAATCTGATCACTGCTACTCTTCTGACCCTTTTTCTTGAACAATAAAGAGGAAGGGTGGGAGATTTTTTTTCAACATCTACTTAGCAACAGAACTTGAAAACCCTCCTTAACCAAACAAAGAGCTGAAGCTGGTATTCTCTCTGCTTGTATTTTTATAAAGAAAGAGGTGGTGAGTTTTCTTGTCTGTATTTGGCAGCCTCTCATCTCTCTCTCTCTCTCTCTCTCTCTCTCTCTCTCTCTCTCTCTATATATATATATATATATATATATATATATATATATATATATATGAATGCGTTGTTCTTTTTGAGTGATATCATAACTCAAAATGCACTGGACAAATTGCCCCCAAATTTGGCCACAAGACACCTACTAACCCAAGGGGTGACCATCACTCAAAAAAATTAATTTTGTCATTTGGGAGTTGTAGTTGCTGGGATTTATAGTTCAACTACAATCAAATATCATTCTGAACTCCACCAACAATGGAAGTGAACCAAACTTGGCACACAGGATTCCCATGACCAACAGAAAACACTAGAAGGATTTGATGGGCATTGACTTTGAGTTTTGGAGTTGTAGTTCACCTACATCCAGAGAGCACTGTGGACAAATACTCCATATGCCCAAATATGAACACAGATGAAGTTTGAGGGAAATAGACCTTGATATTTAGGTGTTGTAGTTAGTGGGAATTATTGTTCACCTACAATCAAAGAGCATTCTGAACCCCATCAACG